GACCCCAGATGCTATATCTTTTGATAGCAGGGCACCATCAGCTTTCTTCACCACATTTGTTTATGCACCCATTTGTCTTCAGTGATCATAACAGGAAGGTAGGCACCCACTGATATGATGTTTTGTTCTTTGATGTCTGATACCTAGTCCCTTCTACACCTTGTGGTCCCACAGGCTGGTGTGCTTCTTCCAGAGTCCCATAGGATTTCTGAGGCTGCAAACCTTTATAGGAGCAGAGAGACTTTCTCTCGCTACCAACAGTGGCTGGTAGACAGGCTTGAACCCCTGACCTTGTGGAAAGCAGTCCATCATTTAGTCAACAGGGCTACCTGGGCTCTTTACTTAATATTCAAACTCAAATAGACTTCCATGGAGTCATTGCTGACACATAGCGACCCTACTTAATATTAAACCTACCAAAAAACTTATTTCTATCAAATCTATTCTGACTCATAGTGACCCTATGTCATATTTTTGAGGCTGTACGCCTTCGTAGGAGTAGACAGCCTCATGTTTCTGCGGCAGAGCTGCTGGAGGGCTTGAGCCACCCACGTTGTGGTGCGCAATCCAGTGCTTACGTGATCAGTGCTCTAAGGACTCCTTACTTCGTACGAGGTACTGTAAAAATGGAAGATGCCTCCTTTGCTCTTATCTAGGGAAGAATCCTTTCCATGGGGGAGCTGAAGATGGCTTTAGGAAGAGGGTGGGTCCCTAGAGCTCAGTCTTCCTTTTTTCTTGAGTAAGAAAAAATACTGTCAGAGGAGAGAGAGGCAGGTCCTCAGATAGCACGAATACGCTAGAATGAGGCACAATGGACCGAGCATGGCTTTTAGAGGCAGTTAGAACTACCTAATGTTAGCGAGTCAATATTGCTCAATTAATTTGTGTAAATGGGGCACAGATTAACAGGGGTCTTCACTATTAAGATGAAAACAATTAATTACAGTTCCATTAAACTATAGGGTGTCATTAACTTTTTTCCCAGGGCAGTGAAAGGACCCTTGATTTTCTAAGTACATTTGAAAGGAAATTATACTCACCACCAGGAGAGTTTAATAAAGGCCTGAAAGGATGTGGTTGCTATGTTTTATAACTCTACTCACTACTTAACACATATTGAAAGTTGACTTGTTGTGGATTGTGAACTAAATGAACAAGGACTGAAAAATCATTTTATTGGGGATTCATACAATGCTTATCACAATCCATCCATCCATCCATTGTGTCAAGCACATTTGTACATTTGTTGCCATCATCATTCTCAAAACATTTGCTTTCTACTTGAGCCCTGGGCATCAGCTCCTCATTTTTCCCCCTCCCTCCCTGCTTCCCTGTCCCTCATGAATGAAAAGAATATTTTTATTTCAGAAAATTTAGTAATATTTTCAAAACCCCTGCTTTCTTTTATTACTCACTGGGTTGCAGGTGACAGCCCAGAATCATGTTTAAAGTCAAAGCTTTAATTAATGATTTGAATGATACTTCTCAAATGCATCTTGGGCCCTATTCTAATTAGAAATGCAGACAGACTCAAGTTTAACTCTTTTGGGGGAGCTAAAATTGTGTTCACTCCAGACCAGCCAAAATACAGATATTCTCCAAAATTCTCTTGGAAAAACCTTAGACTACAGTTAGTACAAGGAACCAACAGGTGGCACTGATGGGTAAGTGTTGACCTGCTAACTGGAGAAATCGTTGTTTAAGTCCACCAGCTGCTCCTTGGGAGAAAGATGAGGCTAGCTGCTTTCGTAAAGACTTATAACCTTGGAAACACTGTCTGGGGTCACTAGGCGTCAGAATCTGTGGCAATGCCGGTTAGTACATGTCGTCCCATTTTACCAGTGTTAGAAATGTCAGTTAAGCCAGAGACACCCTTTGTAGCAAAGTTCTTGCCTGGGTGGTTTTGAATTTCTATAAAATTTCTGGGATCCTGGTGAAGTAATGAACTATCTTCCAGCTGTCCGTTGTGATGTTAAGCGAATGGTGATCTCAATGTAAAGACCAAAATACCACTACAGGTTTCAGATTCCTTGGAAATGACATTCAAAAACCCTGGATGCTTGAGGATGAAATGGAAAAGAGGAGCCCACAGATTTGGACATACCTGGCTCATGCCCAGCAGCCCTGGTGATGAATTAAAGTTTTGGACAGCTAACTGAAAAATCAACCTATCAACCCCCCAGCCACACTGTGGGAGAAAGAGGCGGCAATCTGCTTACATGAGGTTTACAGCATTGGGCACCCTAGGAGTCCTTCTATTTTGTTTTATAGGCTCACTCAGTGTTTGAATCAAGCATGGGATTGAGGCTTTGCTGTGCACTAACCCTGCAGTGAGACCAGGCACTTAACTTCTCACGGGTTACAATTTATAAAGAGGAACTTTTGTGAGACTTGGAGATCAAGAGTGTTTATGTAAAAATGGACTGAAATGGTAATGGAATTTCTCCATACTCTCTTTGAAGTCCTCTTGTATAAGGCAAGCACTTAGCCTGTGCTATCCAGTAAGTGCTCAATAAATTGTGACAGTCATTATTAATTATTAATTGTAGCAATGTCATCCTGGTTCTTTCACACACCTGAAGACCTAAAAGAGAGGCAAGTCCCCCACATCTACCGTTCTTACCTGTCAGCTTCTCTGCCAGCATATTGAGTTGATCTGAGTTAAGGCCGCGACCAACATACGATGAAAACTGCCAGCTGACCACTTCTAGGAGTTGACTCAAAGTGGCCGATGGGGGATTATTAAAGAAAACCAAGTTCTGCAATAGAGTTGTAAAGATGATTAAGGCATTATATAATCCATTACACAAGACTCTTGATATAGACGCTTTAGACCAACCTGAATTAATAATATAGAATATATTATCACCTTTGTTGCACTTTAAAAGATTGGTGAATTGGGTGAAAGGTAAACTTGGTTTCCATTCAACCATTCATATGAAGCCGTTTTGCTTTGTGACACCGATTATAATCCACACAATGTATCGTGTGTGTATCCCACTTCTTCCATGTGTTTGCAATTTCACCCATCTTTCCTGCCTTCTGAACTTTTTCTCTGGGCAGAGTTTCCCTGCTCATCTCGATAGGTGGACTTTTCTAATGTGCGTGCACCTTCCTCATGTCATTGTTCAAAACACAAGCCTGTTCATCATTTGGCTGAAAGTGGATGCACAGAGGTGCGTTCAGGTTCAGGCTTGAAGAGTGTGTAAAGGCCACAGTTCAGGGAGTCACCTGTCTCTATCAGACCGCTAAGATTAGCATTTCATGATTTGGGGTTTGGGTCCATATTTTGCTCCCACTCTACGTAGGACCTCATCTGTGATCTGTTTCAGGGCGTCAGCTGTGGTAGCTGGCACCATCTAGTCCTTCTGGTCTCAGTGTGATCCATTAGTCCTTTGAACTCATTGCTTTTTTTGTGTGGTAATTTTGAATTTCTTCATTCTTCTTTTATCAATAGTTGTTTCTGTTGTACTTTTAAGGAATGCTTTTATTTATTTTTTTTAATGCTGATTCTATCTTATCCTCAACATAAACACTTGGCATCTCTGTTTAACTTTCACTGGCAAGTTATCAATCAACACATACAAGTTTCTAACACTGTTTAACAAACAGTTGGGCAAACACCCTTTTTTTTTTAGTTCAAGGTCCGTTTGTTGACCTTCAGGAGTGTTTTCCAGTCGGGTCTGATGGGGTGCCACGCCCTGGCCCCAAAGTCTATTTTCGCTATTCCCTTGGGACTTCCTTGCTCTGCTCCCCTTGCTGTTCTGTTGCACTTCCTTAGTGTTTTGCCTTGGTGTGGTGGGGTCAGATCGGGCACAATTCCCACACTGTGTCTCTAGTGTTGTCCCCCGTAGGACAGTGAGGGATGTCGTGAAGGGACAGTGGTTCAGTGACGGATGTCATGTCTCAGAGTGGGGCCGGCCATATGGTCCTCTCTGTGCATTGACTGCTCTGAGTGGGGCTATTGTCCTCAGGGCTTGGAGGGCCAGGGTGTGCTCCACTCCCTTCCTCCTCCTTCATTTGCTTCCACTTCCATCTGGGTATGGTAGGTCGGTTTCTTCCCCCCACCAGAAGGTCTAGTGTTGTTCTCTGTGGCACACATTTCCAGGGTGGGGGTCAGGCTGGTTCTGGTTGGGGCCGGCCCTGTAGTCCAGTCTTTTCATGGATTCCTCCACGTGTTATGTTGCCCTCCTGATTTGGCGCGCAATGATGGGGTCTGCATGCACATTCCATATTCTCCCCCTGGGTAGGTTAGTGCCCTGTTCCCCCCATATCATCATCTCAGTTTCTCTCGACTCCCATTCTCCCTCCTCCTTTCCCCTTTTTGATGTTGGACTCACATGTACCTCCCTGCAAACATCCTTTTTTGATAGAATATTAATCATTTAAAAAACTCCTGTCATGGTCTTTAACAGGTTTATTGTGGGTTAGTACAAGTTATATCTGGACCAGACAATGCATTAAAAACAAGAAACAAGCAAGGGTCACCTACACTATGAATTTATGATTATCCCAGACTCCTGTTTTATGGAGAATATGGCAGTCTTTTCTTTCTCGGCTCTAGACAAGAAATATCTTTTATGTGGTCAACTTCAAACAAGGCTATTTGTGCCAGAAATCTGGTTCCCAGTGGTAGGACAGAGGACTTGTCTTAGGCTGCTGGAAAGGAGATGGCTGTGAAAGTCAAGAAAAATATTCTCAGATGGTAGGGTGGAAAGAGGAGAATGATTGAGAAAGATGGAATCTGAGCTAAGCTGATTGGCAAGAGGGGGACTCGTAGAGTAACTTTCAATGTGAGAAGAGCAGAGAGCCCAGCATCCAACAGAGAGAGGGGCCAGGACGAGTAGAAAGGGTTTCAAGGAGGCGATTTTCCTTGAACACAAGACTTGTAGCTGAGTACATGACCAGACAGCACAGAATATGACCAAGGTCTAGGAGCACTGGTTTCAAAACCAAATTGAATCCAGAAGACGCACCAGACCCAGCTGTTAAGTGGGACTGTAGCAAGGCAGGGGCACCTGTGTTTTAGGAGCTGCCTGGTCTGTATCTCAAGACTCCACATCCTGGAGCAGAGTTGAATCAGGGACTGTCAGTGATGGTGTGAAGAATGGGGCGTTTTCTTACAGCAGGATTCTGAAGAGAGCTGAAACAGCACTGTCCCCGGAGACTGGAGGGCAGAGACTTGTCCCATCTCCCCTCTTTACAGCCTGGAGTTGGAGAAAGAGCTCTGAACACGTGTGTCTCCTAAGGGACAGTGCAAGGTCATCTCAAGGCTACTAGTTCTTCTTAAAAAGACCACGTGACTCAGCTAGTGCCTCCTGCTGACCTGCCTGCCCACCGAGAAGAACGGGCACAGAGCTCTCCAGGTGGACTTCCTCTCTGCAGTTTCCTAGCTCACAGGCCAGGGCCCCAGGGCCCTAGGAGAGCCCTTTCCCAGGTTGTGCCCTTAGGGAGGCACGTGGAGTCAGAGGGAAGGAACACTTCGAACAGAGTCCGTTTGTCCTCCTGTCCTAGTTGCTGGAGAGCATGTAAAATAATTCTTCCGTTGGAGGGAGTGTTGCCCTCAGCTGAGAAGACCTGTTGCTATTTGCATTTGAACTCTTTTCTCAAGACCTTGGTGGTTTCCGGTACAAGACGCTGAGGTTTTGTAAAGGGAAGTAGGAAAGTGCCCCGTTCTCAGACGCATCTTTCTGGCCCTTCCTTCCCATCTTTACCTTTTAAGAAGATCCCTTTATCCTAGAACAGTGCTTCTCCACCTTCCTCAGGCCACGGCCCTTGAAGACAGTTCCTCATGTTGTTCTGACCCCCCAACCATAAAATCACTTTCGTTGCTACTTCATCACTGTCATTTTGCTACTGTTATGAATCGTCATGTAAATATCTGATATACAGGATGTATTTTCATTGTTACAAATTGAACATAATGAAAGCATAGTGATTAATCACAAAACAATATGTCACTATGTATTGTGAAATATTTATTTCTAATGACAAATCAATGAAATTTTGTCTTGAAGCATGGTGTGGCATGGGTAGCAGTCTTCACACTGGGTACTTATGGGTGAGCATATCTGCATGTGGGTGGACCTGCCTGGAGAGGGAGACAGGAGCGTCCTCTCGGTTCCTAAGACTGAGGTGGGAAATATGTGTTTTCCCATGGTCTTAGGTGACCCCTGTGAAAAGGTTTTTCAACCCCCAATGGGGTTGTGACGCACAGGTTGAGAACCACTGTCCTAGAAGCTCCTGGCTTTATTGCTGGTATCCAAATTTAGTCAGTGTCTCAAATAACCACCAGATGGCAGTGTGAGCCTAGGAGAAATAAATCTATCCCCAACCCTTGAAATGTGTGCTGTCAGATGGTAGTTAGGGGAGATTGATGAAGACTCCGGTCATTTCTGGAAACCAATCCTGCACCTTTGTAGAGCAGCCTGTGTGGAGAAGGTGGGCTGGGAGGCGGGGGGGACCAGACGTCGTTGGAAAGGAGGGAAACAGCATTCAGACAGCAAATTCTAGCACAAGTAGTCTGCCCCTATCCCAGCAAACCAAGGCACAGGAGGGTCCTAGAATTGTCTGTGATACACAGAGAGGGCGGTTGGCCAGTCCCTCAGAAGTTACAACTCTCTCTCTATCATTTTGGCTAGTCAGAACTCTCTCAGGGTCTCAGTAACATTAGAACGTTCCTATTTTACCTATTACACTAGAGGGGAGTCATACTAAAAATACACTGAAAATAATGGCGCTGAGACATATAGTAACCCACAAGACATTCCCCTTTACCCCCAAAACAATTTCTTTAGTGCTGACGCAGCGTTAGATTGGCACACAAACAACTGAAAGGGGACAGGAGGCGAGGGCTGTACCTGGGGACCGTTGGTTGACACGTTGTACCAGATGACGGACGCCCACGCATTCGGCAACTGACTGACATTGGAAATCATTACCACAGGTAACGAGCTGGTCTGGTTAAAGACAAACAAACACGGTTATTGCAGAAGTCCCACTTTCCCTTGGCCTTATATTGGACCTTCGTCTATAAAGGACCATCGCAACCCACCCTTCTCCTTCAGTCTTACTGTTCCCACTGGCCCGGGCACGACACCACGGTGCAGGGGCCGGCCAAGGAACTTTCTGAGCATATGCAAGTCCTTGTGCAGGAAAGACGGGAGCTGTGAAGAACAAGATGCCTTTCAAGGGGCTCAGTCTGGGTCTCCTTCCTCTAATTACCTTTCCTTAAACATCTCGACTATATTACATCACATACAAAAAAGATAATTCAAAATCCATTTATCAACGATCTTCTTTAAAAGGCGCATTAAAAAGGTCATTTTAAAATTTGCTCTGGATGGAGCCCATATATTCCAATTAAGATTGAATACCTAAATCATGTCAACAGTACGGGCACTGGTCGTTTTGATGGAAGGAGGTAGAGAAGCAATTTGGGGACTGATTGGGAGATTGCACCCCCTGGCCCATTACTGTGGAACTCATTTGAGGATTACTGGTGCTCTAGTTTCTGAGCTTGAGGAATCAATAAGCTTTTAAAGACTAGCCTGGAAAACTTAACCTAATCTGTAGAACTCCCTTTCCAATAACAGTGCTAAGATGCCCGCAGATAGCAAACCACCCCGTGAAGGACTTCAGTAGCTCACTGAAACACCGATTTAAGGGAGAGTTGAGGAAGGAACCGATGCCCACGCTGAGTGTTTCTATTTGTTAAGATACACGAGTAAAGGCAGCCCTCTCAATCAGTGTTGTTTTACGACCTAGCCATTCCAATTCCGGAGGACTCCAGCAGACTGGGCAGCACCACCCCAGAGGATATCCTTTCTGGGGCCATGTCGCCAGGCCTTTCTCCCATGAAGCTACTGACTGCGTGGGGCCAAATCGCCAACCTTTCGGTTAGCACCACCAGCAGGACCCTGTCAGGGCTGTGTGAAATCCTGTCGGCTTGTTGTTGACGTACTTCCTCCTTCAGGCACTCAGCCCACACTGAGCGACTATAATGTGCCAGGCGGCATGTAGGCAGTGGCAACACAATCATCAATGTGATATGGATTCCTCCTTTTCCAGGAAGGAGCTGTCAACAACCCTGGGTTTAATTCCAAATGCTTCTTTATCCCAACTTGGAGACGAAGAGGAGCTACTATCAAAACAGTGCGTCCACCACGCCTATCGCTGGTCTTCGCTCATTACATTCAAACACCTCCCTCTCAGAGATTTTTATGAGGAAGCCACAGACGGACACAGCATCCCTCCATGGGTCAAGAAAACCCATTTCTCGCCAGGCTGTCCACCGAGTACCTGTGCTTCCGGAAATCCCGATGAATGAACCAAAAGGTAAGCCGGGCAACAGATGATCAATATATATGGAATTCATAAATCTCATTTCAACTAATTTAACCAGAAGAGTATGTTAGCTCTTTGACATGTTGCCTTCTAAGTTAAGACAGACAAACAAAAAAGGTGGGGGTGGAGGATTGTATAAGACCTAGAAAAGACGGAGCCTTAGCCTGCAAATGCTGACACATTCTGACAGACGATATTCATCAGTAGCAGTGTTGTCTCAAAAACGTACTTCCAAATCAATGTTCAGGCCGTAGAGGCAGATCTGCGACTCAAAGGTTATGGAGTGAAGCTCCTCCGTCACCATGTGAGAGCCCTGGGGGGAAACACATTGTTATCTTCCAAAGGCACACTTGTTTTCGCTCACGTAGGCTGGCTTCTATGTATAGTGATGACCCTGGGAATAACAATAAATGCCCCCAGCATTCCCTCTTATTGAACAATCCCTCTGACTGTATTGACAGTTATGTGAAGTATGTACAGGGTTTGAAAACCAACAACACATTTCCACAAAGTGAATGATTTTGTCTCCAAAACAAGAGAGAGGCTGGCTGGTAAAGTCCCAGTGTATTTTCTTCAGTTGCAATCTAGATATCATTCTAGTTTGTCTTTAATTTTTGAGAAGCAATGTGTTTGCTAACTGAATATTGATAAAAATAAGCCATATGCATCATCAGAACAAAAAAATCATATCATTGTGAATGAGAGGGAGTGCGGAGTGGAGACCCAAAGCCCATTTGTAGGCAATTGGACATCTCCTTACGGAAGGGTCGCTGGGAGGAGATGAGCCAGTCAGGGTGCAATGTAGCAACGATGAATCATACAACTTTCCTCTAGTTCTTAAATGCTTCCTCCGCCCCTCCTCCCACTATCATGATCCCAATTCTACCTTACAAGTCTGGCTAGACCAGAGGATGTACACTGGTACAGATAAGAACTGGAAACACAGGGAATCCAGGA